CTTCGGCAGTATGTTAGATCTCTGCCCATCTTGTACCTTGAAGAGGTGCTCTTACCCTGACAATGCACCTCACCCACAGGGTAACATCTACCAACCAACCTGAGATACTCATTTATGAACTGTTCTCTGTACAAAATCATTCAATTTGCTGAGAGATGGCAAATGATACTCATGAACAAATGACCTTCTGCCCTCTAATAGCAACCAGTGATGACCCAGGTCATCTCAGACACTGTAACAGTTTTTCTTAAGGAATGATTACTTGAAAAACAATACTAAAGAGGCAATGAGTGCTATTACTAAATTCATTCTGTTGTCATCATTAGAGGAGCCAACTTTCCTGTTCTGTGCTAATTTGATCATTTAGCAGAAGCTCAGAAAGAGGAACATTAACCAAGTCTATCTGGAGCACCCCAGGGATGGACGGAGACAGCCAGAAGCGATTTCTGAGTACTCCTTGCCTATGAAATTTTGGAATCCCCTTAAACCAGTCATTCAAGTTAGGTCAAGATATATGGATTTAATCATTCCACTCCCTCTAGCAAAGTACAAAGCACTTTGTCAAGAAGCTTTCAGCTGAGGCCAAATCAGCAAGTTTGTCTTGTTTTGCTAATGCAGTAACACTGATGATCTGCGCCTCCTGACAGAAGGTAAGGCTTCCCCTCGCATGTGAGTCCGCTCCTCATTCAAAGTCAGTGTATTTCAGTGCTGATAAAGATGAAGTTTAGATTCTCTGACTTTTTTCTGTTAACAGGCACTATGGGTATAAATACACCTTGTTGGGCAGTATCACGCCAATTTATGCTATAGTAAGTAACTTCCTCTGACCTGTAATTACTAGAATGACACCTGCCAGAGTAAGTCCACCCCTAGTTCATGCCTTCTGTGATTACCAATACCTTTAGTTTGTAAGCCTACCAAAAAGATCATTGTTTATCCTAGACTAAATCCAGAATTAGAGTCTTGCAGTGCTATAAGCATAGTGCACTCAGTATGATTGACTGTCTTGCACCACATTACCTTGGAGACCAGCAGACAAAAATCAGAGAGATGACCCATGGTCCTTCTCCTTGAAGGAAAGACCCTCTAACTAGTAGAGGAGAGGGATATTTCCCAAGAAAGCTCCAGAAGGAAAGCTCAGACTCTACCTGCAAATTCTCCTCTCTCTTACCTAGAAATAGATGACTGACTAGGGCTGAGACCTCCATTTCCTTTCACCAAAGTCCTAACAGTTAAGGGCCAAGATCAGACTTTGTGCTGAGAACATGCATGATGGGACACAAGTACACAACCTACGGCGCGGACATGACCTGCATGCACCAGCCTAGCAAACAACTGCACTGCAGGGCTCCACCCTCCCCTGCTTACCCGCGGCCAAAGGAACAGCAGAGAGAAGGCTGCACCTCGTACTAGCGAGGCTTGTGTACCTGCTACTGCAGACCCCAGGTCAGAGAAAGGCGGGGGGATAGAAAGCCTGACCATCTATATTCTTCCTGCCCAGTGACAATGCTGGGAGCAGTTTACAGCTCAGTATTACACCATAAAAACATCTCCACGACGATGCAGCAATCTTTAAATGTGCATTTAAAGGCTTCTATTGGAGGTGCTCTAGGAGCAGTGAAGGAACTCTTCAGAGCAGCAAAGCAACCACCACCGATGCAAACACCAACCATTAACAAACTTATTTGCAGCACTCTGCTGTGAATTTAAGTTTAAATGAGTTGTCAACACAAGACATCCCTCAAAAAAGGAATTTTCAACTTGAGTGGCATCAGGACAGTGACTATCCCCATGTTATCACACAGCTGCAGCAGAGCAGAAAGGGAAGAACACTAACCCAAGCACTGACCATTCCTCCCTAGCAGTACCTTTTGATTGTGGTCAGTTGATCCCAAAGGCCCACACTGTGAGCTGAACTAAGTGCACTCTGGATATCTGGTGCATGTTCAAGGCATCAAAAAAACCCCAAACTTTGTTTTCTCTCTACTGGAGCTGGGTTGAAGACAGGAGTCAAATTCAAGCAGTTGGTTTTTATTCCGTAGTTCTACAGAATAGTCCTTTGACTAGGGTCATCATAGTGTACATGAAAAACATTTTTCAGTCACTCAGAACATGGCCTTTGTAGTTTTTTTGGTTTTGTTTTGGTTTTTGTTTGTTTGTTTTTTTAAACCTGTAGAAAGTAAGTAATCACATCAGGGGAAAATTAAGAATGACGTATCTGGCCAATCGTATTCCTATCAAACAAGAGGAGTCAAAACCTTTTGTTTCAAAGTATTCAACCACAAACACTTCCTTAACAACTGCAGAAAGGCATCGAGGTGATCCAACTGTAGAAGAGTTAAGTACTTATCTAGTTAGACCCCCCTCTTCATCATCTGTATCAAAGACCATCTTGACTGTATAATGAAAACTGCCTACCGTTACAGTAGTCAGCAGGATGAATTTAAATATTTCAACTTCCCAAATCAAGAAATGAAATTAATCTAAAAATAATTTAATGGAGCAAGTTTGGCTATAGAACCAGTGCAACATAAAGAGGACACCCATTGTATAACCAACTTTACTGCTTAATCTTAACAGAGTAAGCTACAGATGCAACGGATTTACCACAAGTTATTCGGTTAAATTAAATACTGCAGTTAGGATCATGCTGTTGGTAATTGTGGCTTTACAGTACCAATGCTCAAGTTGGCTGAGTTAGTTTTACTGTAAGTAAAATGCAAGTTTACAGAGAAACAAAATAATTTAGTATAGTACGCCGTATTGTTTCATGCTCGGTCACAATGATAATGTCTTCAACAGATAAACAATATTTCAGCATTATGTTAATAATGCCAAAACATACAGGAATTTTAATGCCAAATTTACAACATAATACAGTGCTTAACAAACAGATTTCTCAGATACGGTGGCCAAGTGAGAATGCTACACAGGACTGAGAAGCATCCAAGCACTACTCAGTGTATACAAAGTGAATCACACTGACATGAATGCTTTACCTCTCGACGGAATTATTGTTCTAGAAGTTTGTGTCCTAAACATAATGCAACACAAAATGAACGTTGAACCCTTGCCTCTAATGTGAAGCAAAAGCATGACATGTTATTTACAATTTGAACCAGTAAAACCACTTTAAAAACAGAAAAAAAATTGTGATCACTTGACAAAGATGACAGAGCTTGATTACTGTATTACATGAACTAGAATGGTAATGAAGTTGTAAACAAACTTTAACCAAATTAGGTTAATGCATCTATTCTTAACTCAAGAATATTGTCACTTCGGCAAACAGTGATTTTTAAAGCTAAGGACACTATCAGAGGTTTTATTTTTGTTTAAAGCCAAAACTGATAAAAACCTGGAAGCTGGCAAATAATTTTTGTTCCCTATTAGACTTCATTAACTTCTCCACTGCGTACTTCAGGAAAATTTTCAAAACCCCCGTTTTTATCTAATTCTGCTTCAACTTAAGTAGGTGGTAGCAAAGTTGAAGCAAACACTAACAACACTTGAAAAATCCCTACTCAGAGTGATTTGATCTTCCACTATTGGGGATGAGATTAGACTGCTGGCATTGTTCTACATAGAAAACACACACTAAAGCATTAATCTTTAATTTTAAAAGTAAAACTTCCGCAAAATTAAATAGGCTTTGCAAATATGCAAAGAAATACATAGGTAAACCAGATTTGAATCTGTCAATCACAGCAGTGTCCATCTCATTCTCCCCTCCTCCTTCCCCCAAAACTAACAGCATTGCCAAAATGGCTGATGTGAAACTGATAGAATTAAATTCATTTACATGAAGCCTGGCTACAAAACAAAAAGAAACTTTGTCCCTGCCGCATCTATTTTTTTATCTTTTTCCTGCATTTTGTAATGAATTCATGCAAGCATAAAGGGGGTTGTGTTGGTTTTGTGTGTGTTGTTTTTTTTTTTTTTAAACATGCGTAAGAGTTGTGCAAGACAAAACTGAACAAATTTTTGTTTCACTTCAGAAAGATTTTTATATTACCAACTGATTTCTCTTCACAACTAAAGGTGATAAAAAATAAATCCATAGTAATAAAAAAAACCTGTAGTCAAATTGCTTTTTCAAGTATGTTTCTCCCCTCATGAAAGAATTGCATTAGCCATACTACTGATTAAAATCTATGTCACAATCATTAGGATTTAGATCACAGGTCCAGATGTCCTGGAACTGGGCTCAGCTGGATCTCCAGCTGAGTTTACACAAGACTGGAGCGGGAGGCTGATGGGTACACATGCATGCATTACAGCACTCCTCAACTCCTCAATTCTGACTGCATCCACTGTCAGACTCCCATCACATCCCTGAAACAGGAGAAATGGCACAGGAGCCACAAAGTGATCTTGGACAGGTACCGTTGTTCGCTTATCAACCAGGTGCAAATCTGGTTTGTGCTGACAGAGATGCACTTTGCAGACCTATTAGACTGGAGAATTTTGCCCACAATGTTTCTACATAGCACAGCATAAAACACATCTTAGTATTTCACTCAGTCTGGAATTCACATCTCAATCTATTGCAATTATGGAAGCCAATGAAAAGTCAATGAGAGGGGTTCTAGAAGAGTTGGTCCCAGCATTAAACACTAATACATATGAAAAATAAAAGGGGACAAACTTCCAAGTCATTATTTGTGATGGTGTTAGGTTCAACTTTTCTTCCTTCTTCCTTAAATTCACCTCCCATTAATGCAAGAGAAAAGTGCAACTTTGCAGCACGTTTGCTCACATCAAGTTTTTCTGCAAGAACACATTTTGCCGTAACAAAATATGGTCTATAAAGTTGCAAAGTGCACAAGCTGAAGGCACAGAGTACAAACACATACAGGAAAACAGATTTCAAAACACCAAGTAACAAAAAAAAAAAGAGATAAAAGAAAAATATGGAATTTAAAACTCCCTGACAGAAGATACATTTATATGGGACCAACTCTTAAAAGGTGACAATTTTTAAACTAATGAAAAAATACTGCAAAATAATGAAATTTTATTCTTATTATTTAAGTAAAAGCTCCAGAAAATACCTTGAAGTTTAAAAACTAATACACTGATGTGTTAACTAGTTTTAAGAATGTCCTTAATATTAAGAAAAGAGTGCAAAAAAGATTCTTCCATTCTAACACTTTTGGAAGCTGCTGATTTCGGCTGCCCATTTCCACTTTGAAAGGATTGTTTTTCAAGGTGCATTCCTCACAAGAATTGCAGAACATGAACTTGTTGAGAGGCTAGACCAAGGAATCATGTCTTTCCAAGTCATCCCGATTGTAGCAGCAACTGACATTTTATTATATAAAGAAGAAAGTCCAAAACTCTCCTTTGAGGCATAGTTCGTGTCAGAGCTCAAGTATCAGCAGTTGCCAAATGAGGCTCCGGATACCACCTGCGCTCCTCCAGTGTCTGTTCTGGCTAGGAATAGAAGCTGATCCAGTATATTCACTATCTGTACCCCCTGGAGCTTGCACAAGCTGATGAGCCATCTGAAATTATATAAAAAGTTCAAGAAATTCTCTCATATTAAACTTCCACCTTACGTCCTTTGCTCCCTCTCCCCCAACAGCCCAAAAACCAGCTGTTGCCTGCAAAACGTTAACAGTGTAAACAGAAGCTGATATACCACGGAAACATCCATTCATTCATTTATTTCAGGTTGTAATAAGAGTTCACCATAAAACTGTATGACATTTTATGGTACGAAATAAAGCAAACATACTCAGCTGAAAGCACAGGAGGAAACTTGGTAGAAAGAATGCAATAAAATGAAGTTAACAACTGTACCAGAACAGATACTATTCCCCAAGGCTATTTAACAACAATTAGGACCTTGTACTTCAATCCTAACCTAGGATATATGGGACTAGATTCTCTCCTGGCAAAATATTTAGTCAGCACAGAAGATGGGACCTCCAACTGCACCCAAATTAGGGCTGTCTTGAGTAGAGTAACCAAGGATGGAAATACCATTCCTCCCTGTGTCTCTTCCCCCCACTCTCTGATCTATACTGGGGGAAATTAATTTCCTTAAAATAAGGAAATTTGTTACAAAGTGAAGAACCTCACAGTTAAACATGCAGCAAGAGACTTCATCTACAAATGGAAGAGAACTTCCCGGCTGCATGACTCAAACATTTGTAGCCAAATACCACCTTTAGTATCTCAACACAGCTGGATCCCAGGTTGTATTAGACATGTAATTGAGGGTTAAAAAGCACAACCCCTCCAAACTCTCCATTCTGTTAACAGACAGAAATGCCCATTGCCAGCAGGTGACTTATATCAGAGGTGGACTGGCTCATCATTTCATTGCCTGTTATGCGTATCCTGACCAGGCAGAGACTTGGGACAACTACGTTCTTCATCCTCAAGACCTGAAATGAAGTGGAAGTATTATCTTGGTCTCAGTAGCTGGGATATCCTACTACCTCACAAGGTGGCTGTGGGACTGTAGCACAGTTAGCCAGGCTCTACATCCAAGAAGTCTGTATTACTACTTAGAACGGTAAGGTTACATTGGCAGACAGCTCACTGCATGTGGAGATGCAGCCTCTGACACCTCGCCAGCCCCGAGAACCCAGAAGTCCACCACTACCTGTATGTCTAACCTATCAGGGACTGTAGCACACTGGAGGGCAGGGTTAGATGCATACTTACTGTAAGTTAACTCTTCTCCAGCTCTCTTGCGTGACTGGTCACCTCTAGGAAAGAAGAGGAAGAAAGGTATTTTCATGATAACCCGAACTAATTGAAAATGTTCCTGCTCACTGCAGGGGGGTTGGACTAGATGACCTTTAAAGATCCCTTCCAACCCAAACCATTCTCCAATTTTAAAAAAGGAAAACAACAATGAAACACCTCAGCACGATCATGAACTTTTACCAACTTTAGAAACAAAATGCAAACATAGTAGCAATAACACATGACTGCAGGATTCTCACTTTACTAAAACAGAAGTCTAAGCTATAAATTTAATTAGCTCATCTTTTAAAGATGTTAAAGATAGCAGGTTTGATTTTATAGGATGATTTTTTACTAAATGAAGATGAGGGAAATTGCTCATATGCAGTGTGGTCTTAAGTCATGCATAAATTTTTTTTCCTTAATTCAAACTTCTCAACCACACTTTATAGAACTGTTGGGAAAAAAGGTGAGATGCTCCTGAAAGTCCAAAAATCAGACTCTAAGCAAAGCTGAGCTGACAGCACTCCCTCTTCAAGCAGAAGATTTAAAAAAATAACTAAAGTTGTATAAACACCAGTTAACATCATTGCTCCTGAAAACCCAAAGTCAAATTCACATCTATTTGGGAAGCATTTTTTCCCTCTTACTCATGTGCTCACAAACTCTTAAAGCTGGAAAATCTTGCTGCTTCACAAGTTTCTTGTGATGATAGACATGCTACTGATGCTGTTATATAAGGAAGAGAGATTCCAATATAGTTTAATCACAGTGGTTACAATTTCACATTTATCTGCTGGAAGTTGATAGAAATTGGGTTTTTTTCTAATAATA